CTTGAACAAAGATAGAACACATTTTGCGGTATAACCCATACTTTGTCAAAAATTTAGGCATCAACCTAAATGCCTAAAAAGACAAATCACTCAATCTCTTCCATTCTCCTAGTGTTTGACAAAGTCAGGACCAAGCGGGCAATTCGAGCACGAATTACCCTAAATGGTGTCACCATAGCAATGATAAGATATTATTTCAATGTTTCGTACCAAGGACTATTATCCGAGTTTTGCGATTCGAGTACTACAGTAAATGCTGAAAATTCATTAGCCTTCAGCTGTTATGACCTTTTAATACTCAATAAAATGCAAAATGGATAAATAGCATTAACTTACTGAACAAATAATTATTATTTAACTAAAGATTAGCTATTCTATCTTAGGATTAATCGTCTATATGCTGGTAAGGTAATGAATAGTGATTTCGAGTTTTTCTTGTAAGTGGAAATAATAAAATTTCATCTTAATTGCTATTAAATCCAGACATATGGGCAAATGCGGAGATTTTTATCTTTTTATTCTATTTAATAAGCGATTTTAGAGCTTTCTCTGATCAATTTGCTGAATTAACAATTTATACAGCTAATTACTGGGCATGAGTTCTTTTGAATTAAAAGCATGACTAATAAGCCTTAGATAAGGGACGAAAACAGGAAAATTGTCCGATACTTATTTGATTGAAGCATCAGCATGAGAAACGGTAAACTACTTCATTTGGGTTAGTTTTATTTCAGATTTATATGCGTGAAGATCGGTAAAATTGCTAAATATCATAATTACCTTGCACATAAGTTATATCATTGTTCATAGTACTCAGTATGAGTCTAGTTCAATTAAGTCCAACAACCCACCAGCTTTAAAAAAAGCCTATTTCTACACTATCATATATGAAATGAAAATATTAAACCTGCAAATGTTTACGCTTTGCTCTAGATGTATATGTCTACTAGGCCGCAATAGGCCCAATTTATTTCCTAATAGAGATATTCGGCTTATGGACTGAAGCTTTTTCATATAAATCCAAAGATGATGCTGAGAGTAAAATGAGTACAAACGTTTGAACACAATCTAGATGATTTCTAATGGCATTTAAAAAATCTTTATTACCATAGATATCCAACTAAGCCCAATTTCTCAATATTTCCTTTCTCTTTGAAGTAATTTCATTAAAACATATTTGGATATCTAGTTTTCTTTGCTTCATGTTAAAACGGTATATACTCTATAAAGTATTTACCTCATCCGTTTCTATGCCTCATTCGATTTTAAGCTTCTTTAGCAACTTGCCGAGAGCTGGGACAAACGTGTAAGAATCATGAAATCTGCACTCTCCTCACTGACCAACAGGCTTCTGCTTCTATCTCCCTCAGTGTGCCCTATTCCCGTCTCCCTAACAGAGAAGTGTATCAAAAGACTGATGGCTTTAACGGATTGACTACCGCGCGTGCACACTGTACCTGCCCAATATGCCCTGAGGAGAGTGGTTTGGGTGGAAAAGTCTGCGGTAGTGACTCACAAACGTATCGATCTGAGTGTCATCTGAGATTGAGTGCTTGTCGGCAAAATGACCATTCACTTAAGGTGGTGAAACGTGGCTCTTGTGGTAAGATGATTATTCATTAAAATGATCTCAAAATATGATTTTTTTTAAATGTCTCTATGGAAGACAAAACTGGGCACATATACCAAACAAAGGTTTAAAAAGTAAATTCAACCAGGTTATAATGCAGAAATATAATTGCTAACATCAAAAACTGCAGAATAATAATAAAGTTCACTGTCATTTGATGATTATTTACGAACTACAACAGAATAGAACTGCAGGATAACGCTTGTAAGATAAATTACAGAAATGGGTAAAATTGAGTTCAAAGGAGAAAATCTGAGGAAATCAGCCATTGACTCATTATTCCAATAGCACTTCATTGATTGTACTTTTTATTTCTTGATGAGGCTTCAATAAATACACGATTTTAGCAATCATAAGATACCAATTGGTTGCGTCATTAATTAATTAGACGCGTTTTGTCTGCTATTTCTAAGAGAATTCCATATTTTCAATAAAAGCAAACTAAAAATTATGTTACAAGCTGATATAATAACTATGTGAATACTTATGGATATTGAAATAGGCTTTTGTTTTAAATATCACAAATATT